TGATATGGTTACTACTTTAGCATTTTTTCAGGTAAACTTTTGATTTAGATTTTTTTAAATCTAAATCTAAAACTGCAAACAAAAATCCTGTATTAAAACTGCTTTATTCAATTAACTTCCTTGAAAAAAATGTCATTCTGAAACTGTTCATACATGCTAGGCATGGTGGCGCACACCTGTAATCCCAGCACTTAGGAGGCTGAGGCAGGAGGATCTTTCCAAGTTCAAGACCAGCCTGGGCTACAAAGTGAGCTCAAGGCCAGCCTGAACTGTGTAGGGAAACCCTGTCTCCAAAAAAAAAAAAAGAGAAACTGTTCATACATACTTTTTTTCTTCTTGTTTTGAGGTTTGCACTGAGCTACAACCCCAGCAGTCCCTGCTCCCCCTCCTTTTATTTGTCTTTTTATGACAGGGTCTCACTATGCTCAGGCTGGCCTTGAGCTCACTTTGTAGCCCAGGCTGGTCTCAAATTTGCAATGATCTTCCTGCCTCCGCCTCCGGAGTGCTGGGATTACAGGGGTACACCACCACACCCAATTTCCCTGCCCCTTTTAGAGACAGGGTAAGTCTCTAAATTCCCCAGGCTAGGCTCAAATTTAGATCCTCCTTCCTCACCCTCCCAAGACCACTGGGATTACAGGCACCCACTACCACACCCAGCTCATAGATACTCCTTTTTTAAAGTTTACTATTATATTCATTTAGGCCAAAAGTATATAATGTAACTACTATGTATCTTTGTGTGTGTACGTATATCTTTATACCTCTTAAAATACATTATGGATACTGATTATATAAAATGTCAAGATTATCTTTAAAGACTCTTTAAAATAAAATTTTAAATAAATAAATAAATAAATATATATCTTTAAAGAACAAAATCTGAGCCTGCCTATATCTGTAATCCCAGCACTCGCAAGGCTGAGGCAGAAGGATCTTTGCAAATTCGAGACCAGCCTGGGCTACAAAGTGAGCTCAAGGCCATCCTGAACTGAGTAGCAAGACCTTGTCACAAAAATAAAACAAAAAAAAGAAGAAGAACAAAATCTGGCAACTATATAAAAATTTACATATTAATAGTTACTTAATGTAAACTGCATAAAATGTAAGATCTTCAAAATATAAACTCAAATGTATATCCTGATTAATAATCTAAATCACCAACTTCAGTCATGCAAATCTGGTTACTCAAGGCTACAGATACATCAAAGCAATAAGGATCCAATAAAATATTTCAGGAATATTATAGAAATATTGGTTGTTATTCAAAGGCTAGCATGAAAAATTTTTTAAATATATAAATTATACTACTTTTGAAATTATATAGGATTATGTAAAAGGATTTTTTGTTCAGATACTTAAAGGTATGTGCTTACAATAATATAAATGTTCTGATGGGTTTTAAAAATGTGTAATACTAGCTAGACCCGTAACAGTACAATAGGTAATTCTAAACAGCTTCCTGAATAATTGCATTAATGACACTAGATTAAAAATTAGCAAGTATATACCAATAAAAATTAAAATTAATAAAAATAGTTTTTAAAAAGCTAGATTTGGTACTGAACTGCTAAAATTGCTAAAATTCAAATGAGTCTTTTAAATCCATTATAAATAAAAAGGTTATTTCCTTAACTCCACTTATGATCAACTTTATTTTAAAAGCACTTTCATTAAGTAAGAGTCCATAATTTGATGTCTCAAATATGATACTTTGTGCTCAACATAATATGTGAATGTGAAATGTAACACAAAAGGGACAAAACTTTCACAATGAGTCACCACACTTGTTATTAATCTAAATAATAAACTAAAACTTTATTCACATTTACTGAAAAAAAGAATTCACAAGTGTCATTAAAGGTGAAATTACCACTACATTATTCTTGAGCCACCCTCAAATCCAGTGAAACACGAGGCTCTGCTACAAGGGAAATAAATCTACTAATGAACATCTTGCCGCACAAGCGTTTGTTTTCAGCTTCAGCATCTTTCTTTTTTTTTTTTTTTTTTTTTTTTTGGAATGGGATTGTTTACCTTGCTCCTTCATATGTTGGAAATGTTTAACTTTTTTTTTTTTTTTTTTTTTTTAGCATCTTTCTAAACCATCTGGCATCAATGCCTCTCTAGTTCCCCAAGCCTAATCTGTTCAGATTCAAATATTAAACTAGCGCTACATGCATTTTGAGGAAACCAAGGGACAGTATGTACATATAATCACGTCCCAAGTATGAATCTGTAAGCTACTTTTCACTTGAACTGTACCTTTAAAACATTTTTAAAGATATTAAAGATCTTTTCAAAATACAAGAATGACTCAAGAAATGCGTATGGGTTGTAGCTATCATCAGTTACCCATGTCCTACTTTATTTTTGCTTTTCCTTTTTTAATTCCAGTTCTCAAACCATGTAAGAGATATACCTACAGAAAATTCACTGATAAATGATATACTGTCATTTTTACAACAAGAGGATTGAAGTTATATATTTTACTTAGCCTAAAATTAGTCTTCGTAACCTTATAAAAATGCCTAGAAGAAGGAGAGGAAAAACATTCACGAAAGCTCTTTTTTTCATGTCCTGCCGCCACATTATTGTCAATGGCAACACTCACATTTCCTTTGCTTAAAATCAAGACTCAAAATTGTTACTTTAGAAATTAAAACAATCTACAGATATACCTATGGCAATACCTTTGTTAGAAACAATTTTGTTGATCATCACTACCAGTTTAAAAACAAATGGCCTTTTCAGAACAATTTTTCAGAAACAGATAATTCACATACCACTATATAACACAAGTTAAAGCTTTCAGACAAAGACTGAGAAACAATGGCCAACACCAACAAATGTAAAAGTGCATTTATATATGTACACACACACACACACACACACACACACACACACACACACACGGTCACTACTCCTGGGGAGGAAGCTGCTTTGGCCTCCCTAATAATGAGTCCCCATCTTGTGGTTTTCCTTTTTTGCTCCTATTAATCTCCAAAAGAATTGCTGCTTCGTTCAAGTTACTCAAATCCCACACCACAAATTCTCTATCAGCTTTTCTTACGTTTTTCTCTTAAAGATCAGCTCTTCTCACCTCTTCTTCGAGAGCTGGGCTGGTGACAGAAACGCGCTGTGCAATTCCGGCTCTCCCCAGCCTCTTCCCTAACCTTCCTCTCGTACCATCCCCATTCCTGTTTCTTAATCTACCTGCCTGGGTCTCTATCGACGCCTTCCCGAGGCGTGATCCCTCACTACGTAAGCTAAGGCAATCAGAGGGAGTCGTTCCTTCTCCGGGTTTGCTTTCTTCACTGTCGCCCACCGAGAGGTACGAGGGGGAGGCGTACTGAAACAAAGAATTCCAAGTCCCTTTACTCGGAACTTTGGTATAAATCCCTCGGGGACGCGCGCTGCGAGGCCTCTATTTGCCACTGGACCCTTCGCAGCCCATCATCCCGCGCAGGGACCCCTTGAGGCCCCAAGCGCGGCGGTTGCCCTGGGTCAGCACCCCCACCCGCCCGATGTGTCAGCCGCCTTCCCATGCTCCGGGTGAACTTCTTCCCACCGTACCCTAGTTCTGGAAGACTCAACTCTGAGCCTCTCGGGGTGGGCGCGCAGCCCTGCCGCAAAGGTGTCCCTGGGCTCCATCCCCAAGCGGCGCTCCGCTCCTGCAGGACTCGCCCGACGCCGGGGAGGCTGCAGCCCGGGAGGCGGCCACGGGCCCCGCTCCCCTGCACCCCAACATCGCCCAGGCGCTCCGGTCCCCCGGCGTCCTCTCGGTCCTCACTGCCCGCCACAGTTCCGAGTTGTCGGGTGTCCTCTTCTGCAGGGAGCCGAGACGCGTCTCCCCGGCCCTGGCCCCCGCGTCCTCCAGGCTGCAGGACCCCGAGAGCGTGACGGGGCTCCACGGCACCCCAGCCCCACAGGCCCCGGCCCCCGCCGCCGCGGGACAGGCGCGGCCCCCACGGGCTCGACCAGTCTTCCCCGGGAGCCTCCTCCACTCCCCGCCGCCCCGCAGCCTGCAGCCGGCCCTCGCCCTGCGCCCACCGCAGCCCCGGCGCTCGAGCCGCTACTTACGGGGGCCGCCGCGCCTCTCAGCGCCCCGCCGCCGCCATCTTGCATCTCAAACCCGCTGCACTTTTCAGGGAGTCAACTCTGACCTGTGAACCCTACACCCGGAACCACTTGGCGGACCTGGGGCCGAGCCTCGGAGCTCGGCGGCCGGGGGGTACCCGGGTAGGGGGCACGAGCAGACACACGTCCTAGCGGCAGTCCGGGGGCAAAGGGCTGCGCGCAGAACCAGCCGCGGGGGCCTGTGCGCGCCCCCGCCTCGC